GAGTCTGTCTGCCAAACAGTGTCAAAATCCTTGTTCTATAGGCCCCCATCTTTGTACCAGGATTTGAGTGCATGCCATGATTGGCCTGTTAAAAAGCCAATGTCGATTTGCCAATCAAGATGAACGGAAATTCGAGACACACTTCCGGTTATTTGATAAATCCATTGGGGACCCAAATAAGAATCTTGGGTTAAAATATTATGTCTGCGAGGCAGGCTACTAAATACCACGAACCAAAAACTTGCAGTTAAGTTAGAAGGAGCTTTTTGCTAGACTGATTTGGCTGCAAAATCTTTCCCCATTGTAAAAGCAGTTGCTTTGTCATGACAAAACAATACATTTGGATTAGCAAACCAACAACTTTGCATAACACTTTTTGGTGTACATTTCTTCTTATTTTTCTCTTTCTTTTTCTGAACCTTGATAGAGTCATTTAGAATATGAGTGACAAAGTTATCTCTGTTACAGGTACTTAAGCTTCCTAATAATTATAAAGAAGATCTACATACGCTGCTGTGGTAAGACAACACTTGTCTGTTGGGTTGGTTTTACAGGAAGTGACTTTGTTCTTCCAACAACAGCATGTGCTCTTACCTAACGGAAAAGCAACACCAATTATTAACTCCAAATGCACTCTCCCAGCAGAGTCTTTCTTTTGCTCGCTCTATCTTAGCGCACTTGAGAAAGACTCTGCATGAATCAAATAAGATGTCTGTTGAGCATCCGTGGCTAGCCTGTGAACAGGCTCTCTGTTTTGGGAAAGGGTGAAAAAATTGCGAGGAGGGGGAAGGAAGACGGTGAGAGCCTGGTGACAAACATTTGGACTGTAATTCTACCTTCTTCCCTTCAAACAGATTGCCTATTTACAGGCTAAAGCATGGCATACTGCTAGAATATAGTATTGCACCAAGGCCTACTGTGAGCTCGGTTATGATCACCAGTTTATTAATAACGGATGCTCATACTCAATGAGCTCACAATCAACGTCAAGTGCTAGCACTTGAAAGAGGCGAACAAGATTGACTATTCTAGAAGTGTGGGCTGTGCCGACTTCAAAGGTTTGATGTTATTCAGGCATAGCCTCCTTATCTCTTCCTCCCTCAAGAAAACAAAAGGATGCCCACTCGCAGGGTGCTCAAAATGTCAATTCTAATAAAAATTGACAAAAAAAAAATAAAGGTGAAAATTGATTCAGCTTACCAGCCGTGGTTTAGAGTGCATTTGTGTCTCAGCACTGTTGCTACTTCGAAGCTGACCAGCAGAATTCTTTGCAGCATTACGAGGTGAGCCTCTATGGCGTTTATTTATGCCCCCTGAACCTGCAGAAGGTCCTATGTTCCCTCCAATGGAGTCCCCTGAATTATGTCCCATGTTGTACCACCTACACCAAGAATAATAGCAACAATTTAGATACAATGACAAAAACTCCACCGATTCACTTTAAAGCAGTTTAGTGTTTTTAAGTGAGCAACTCAACAACACAACACTGGAGGTAGCCTGCGAAAACAGCCATCCCCCCTTGCTCCTCCATGCAAGGGGCATTTCCCCAGGAGGGATGTCTGTGCCTCAGTGACAGAAATTCCATAGTGATGACAAAATAAATGTCTTCATAATTACGCTAGTAGTCCTTTCAGTCGAAATGTACAATTATCGATTTTATGTTTCTACTGGTCGATTATGGCTCCAGCAAAACTGAAATCCTTCTTCTCCTTCCTTCTTAAGTGGATGTATTTCACAAATATTGCCTGTTTTGTAGTAAATTCATCGCGTTTACATGTGACCTTTGTGACAGTTTGCTTTTTGACTGTCGTTTGTAAAAGAATAGCTAAAACAATATAACTACTACGTCAACCAATCAGAGCTCCTGACAAGACTGTGGACAGATTTTACCTCATCAGCATGAAATTTCTGTTGGTGAAGGGGCAGACGTCCCTCCTTGCAAAACATCCTTAGCAGTAAGAAGTAGGGGGAGATAACTGTTTTTGCAGGCTATACCCTGGAGGTAACCCAACAACTATACCACAGGTAAGCTTTTCTTAGTTACACAACAACAAATGTAACTCAATCAACAACCACGCATGACTGACTCAATAAAACATCTCCAGAGGCAACCTATTTAATTACACAACACCACAGGTCATCCAGATTCAGATTTTCTATTTTTTGCACTGTCTATTACAAAAGATTACTAAGTAGATTACAATATGTCACAAGGGCAGAAAAGAAAAACAAAATTAATAACATAAATCATGAAAGCTCAGTGCAAAAAGGCATACTTTTCAGTTGGCATTTAATCGCTTTTGATTCTCACTGTGGATTTCAAATTTGAAATGGACATGCAAACAGACATGTCATGCCGCCATCGTTATGCTAATTCACCCAATAACCAACAGTACAATAGGCAACAAATTCAGTAACACAACCACTGGATCTTACCCCCTTTGTCGGTTTTCATGTGATGGTCGCCGTTGTCTCACCAGTCTCTGACACTCTTGTTTCCATGACTGAATTCTTCCTTTCTGGGAGGGAGTAAATGCCTGGCAGAGAAACCAGATTTCAAGATTCTTATGTCCCATTTCATGCTCTTTGGGCCATGTTTTATTTACTGGAAATATTTCAATAGTCAAATAATAGTTGCTTGCATTGACAGAAAACTCAAAAAAATTTATTCATAAAAGTACCCTCATTCTTCAGTAAAACATTTTTAATGTAACTGTCTTCTTTTCTTTTTCTTGTTAGAAGCACCTCCTCAGCACTTGCTGTTAAAAAGTTAAGCTGTATCACAATATCTGAGTCATTACTTTGCAAAGTACAAAATTACCTTGAAACTCTAAGACCTCAAACTAATAATTGGGTAAAAACAGAAAAACAGCAACAGAGGAAAGAGTAAACAATAAATGTATGAAACATGGTTTAGGATAGAAAAAATTCAAATCCTGGTCAGTAGCATTACCTCTAGCATAAGAACTCTATCAAGAAGCAGAAGGTAAGCATTACAGTGTTCCTCATCTGCTCTTGACACAAGAATCTGGGTGCAAGCTGATCAATGAGATAACAACAAAGAACAAAGCTTTAATGAATAAGTATAAAGTGTGTTCACAAGTAAAAATGACTACCATTTGATTACCTATTAGAACATGGGGGAAAGATAACTATGCTGGTGATCACGGTTTTTGACATCGTTATTGCATCAACAACTCCATGTGTTAAAAACTGCTTGTCGCTCAACACTCGAAATGGAGAGCTTGCTCGCAGGGCCAGCCTGGGTCAACTCTAATATTGCTAGCCCACTCACCTTTACCCAAAACTCTTGTTATTCTAGAAGCTAAATCGTCAGGGTGTGGGGGAACATTTGGAGCTGGTTGATCAGGCGTCAGTGTTGGTGGGTAAGGCACATGGAGTGCTGCCTCCGGAGAAGAAGGGTTAAATGGTTTTATCGGTGTGATTAATATTTCTTTCAGTCCACTCAATACTCCTTGTAGTTTACCAGGTTGAAGTACTTCCTGGAAAAAAAAGTAACAGCAACAAAACAATATTGCACTTGAGCCTTTCCACTTTTCACTGTAGTTCCTTATGGAGACCTGATACCACCATCTTTGCTAAATTGTAAAATAACCCTCCCCCCGCCAACCAATCTCTATTAAGCCCCCCCTCAAAACCCCCTGGCAGTTTAATAGAGGATTTACAGTAATTTGACACTATGCCAGCTAATATTAATAATGAATCCAAAATTTTCTATTTACTTAGAGGAGGGAGCTTATTTGAGAGAGGGGGTGTAATTAACAGAGAAAAGAGAATTTACCATAACAACATGCTCATTCAAAGATGTATGCACAAAACTTGCTGCTAACACTAAATTTTGAAACTGCCTGTTACCATGGACTTCAATTAATCCTGTGAAAATCATGTTACCTTTTCCAGACGTGACAATGATTCTCCTCTTTCGGAGAGTTTTTTAATACTCAATAGAATCTTGTTCCTAGCTCCTTTGGTTACACCCTGTTAAAAAAAAATAAAATTCCAGTAAAAATACTGACAACCTTAAGCGGTTTTTACTACAAACAGTACAGCAGAGGCTGCAATTGCTTTTTGCATCACTTTTCTTTTTTAAGTCCTGCTGTCAACTTAAGTCTTCGTTCCTTTCTCCTTCGTTTTGAGTTTGCTGGACTATTACCTAAAGTCATTTGTGTTCAAAAGCTCCTTAACGTTTCAAGACAAAAATATGAAACATAATTAAATTTTGAGGGTAGTTTTAAAGGTTAGTGTTCATCTCCAATTTTCTGGACCAAAATGATCCAAGCACCATTTTACATGTAGGGAGAGACGGTTCTAATATTTTTTAGTTATGCCACTCCACTGCTTTTTAAAACTGCTTGTTTATTTAGGGGCTGTTTACATTAAGGAAGAAAGAACCCCGAAGGTGAATCATCCTAGCACCATGTTTTCGGTATTCAGTTTACAGTGAACTCCCTTTAGAGCGGACACTGTAGGGACCTTGAGTCAGTATCCTCATTAGCCAGAGCCCATAGTAGTGGGAGTTGTTTTTCAGTCAAACATCTATAATTTATTTTTGCCTGGGATGTAGCCGCTGTACTCGTTATAACGGGGTGTCCGCAAGGCGAAAGTTAACTGTACATGCAAAGGGTTGTTCATGTCCCTAGCCGTAGGATCTTCCTAGCTAAGTGAGAGGTAGGAAGATTCTAGCAAGAGAACAGTCCTATTCCCATGTAAACTGCTTTTGCTAGGAAGATCCTATTACTAGGGACAAACCAGACAAAAATGGTACTGGGTTGTTCAGTGGGTAATCACAGCAATAAAGGCTGACAATTTCGTTTAGCGTTCCCAAGAGCTGACGAACTGCCAGTTGCTGTTGAAAGGTAGTTACTAATGCAAGTGAAGAGAGCAGAAGGGCCCCAAATTCCATGTTTGTTTTTGTCACCTGCCATATTTTATTCCTTCTCTAGTTGATAACCACACAGACTGAAATTTCTGCATGTAAACCCAACAAAAAGTTGTTCCACTTTCTAAGATCTTTCTGGTGCAAGGATGCTCCTCACACCATGTAAACAGCCTCTTAATGTGATATCAGACCAAAACCTTTGCCACTTTTAACACTACCTGAAATGACAAATTACCTTGCTTTCCAAGTATTCCTCATTGAGTCCAAGCATTTCTTCATAAGAGAGCTGAGAAAACAGACTACCATACTTGTGCAATCTTAGATTCTTCAACCATGATCCAACATCTGCAATTCAGAAGAAAGAATTTTAATTCTTTCAAGCACTTACAAATGAAGACATAAATTACCAAGGAGTACCCAGCAGTGACTGCACCCGCAGAGTCATTTTTTTGAGGTGGTCTGTAGATGAGATCAACAAAGAACCAGTGCAATAAGCAAGTAGTAGTCAAGATACTACCAAACTCATTCATACTGGTATATTTGGGAAGGGTAGAGTTGCAAGAAATCAAAGCTTGGTATCAACCAAGTCAATCTAACCTTTCATGCCAGGACGTGCATCTTCATTGAAACTGCCTCCTCTTTGCCGACATCCATTTTCATCAAATTCACTTTCAAGCGATGACTGAGGTGACAGTGAGTGATTTAATCTATGAGGATCCACCGGAAAAGACTGGGACCTGCCCGGACGTATTTCAATATTATTGGTTTCCACATAATCCTCTATAATGGAGTCTTGAACATCAACAGGGGGTGGAGGGGTGAGTGAATTTGACCTGCTTTTCCTCATAGAGGATGAAACTGAAAGATGAGGTGATGGAACTGGAGGTGATTCAAACGAACCACCAAGTCCAGAGTCCACATGAACAAGTTGCTGATTTCGCCAGCCATTCATCCTGTTACGCATGTAGTTCTGCCTCACAAGATTCTCACAGCCAGTGTTGGGTAACACATCAGAGTTTTCTGATATACAAGAATTGGTAACATGAAGTCTCTCTTGAACACCAAGACTCTTGTCGAGTTGGCTCAGCCAGCTGTGAAGTGTTGTCCTTTCCTCGGGAGGGAAAGCAGGATGAACTACTGAGAGTGACAAGAGCTGTCGACATTCTTCTTGGTGAATGGAGTGTTCTACTGTATGGTGAAGAATCTTTGAGAGTAACTGAAGATATTGATATCTGGCCTCATCATTCCGTGGGTTGAGTAACGGAAGATGCATCAAAAGCTGTTTAACAGCGAAATCTTTGCTTTCACGTAACAGACTGCTTAAGAACTCTGCAAAGAGATGTAATAACATTGGTCAACTTAAAAAATTATCAATTTAAGTACTAAGTACTTAGATGTGATATAGTGTCATTGTTATCTTAGTGACCTTAGTGATTAGTAGGAATTGTTGTAAGAACTATAGTTATTTATTTATTTTGTATTGTTAGTGCTTTTTTGTTGTTGTTAGTGTTAGCTATTGGAGCTGTAAAATAGTTATTTTATTTTATTTTATTATCTCAGGTAAATTTTGTGTGGTTAATAAATCATTGAAAAAATTATTAATTTACTCAATAATCAGATGTCCGTTACGCTTTACTACCAACAACAATTTGACATAATGGCCAACTCTCACGCATTATATCAACAAGTCTCACATCTGTGAACTTAACACATTGATCTCATGCATCAAAGACAATAATTTCTCACACCTTAATCACAAATCCAGACAAATTTTTCTTTAGCACATGATTGATAATGAAAATTCCAATCAATTTCCCCAACAATATCCCAAAAAGGCACTTCATGTTGACTTTCTGTCCTAACTGTATCACATGCTAACCTTCTTGCCTTTTACTAGTAAATAGCTGCGGAAGTGCTCAAAGGTCGTCAGAATATCTTCATTCATTTTTGGCAATATTTTGAGGTCTTCCCAAATCTTCAGAAGCTGCTGGGAGGTATTTGAAAATCCCAGTCATGACAAGACAAAAATCTCAGCACTTGCCTCAAAAGGTAAGTATTTAATTAATCCTTCAATGTGAAAGAATAATTACCAAATCATGAACTAAAGATCACATCATAATGCATTTCAACCCAGTATATATATATCTCTATTTTTTAATTTTCAGTTTCCTTTGTCTGCTGGCCCTAATTATTTGTCAAAACGAATCTCATGAATTCTTGTTCTCTCCTCACCAACATTATTCATAGTCATGAATAGTAAAGATTCTAAGATTCTAAGCTTACTTTTCACTGGTCGTCAGAGTGGGACAGTGTTCACTAAACTACCAGTACTTAGAGAATTAAAAGGTTTCTTAATTCAGCAATTTGTACCCTCTGAAAGGAAAACATTTGTCTTGACTGATGCAAATGTACAAAGCAAAAACCAAGAGATAGGTGCAGTGACAATATTTTTGGTAAAAAGTCATCTATCTGTTCTATAAATACCCAAACATAAACCTATTCTAGGATCATAAAAAATAATTTCTCAATAAATCCTTAATTAAATGGTGTGCAATTTGCAACAGCAGCTTTGTTTTCTTTGCTCAGCTTTCAGGTTGGCTTTTAACAGAGCTTATTTAGGACACCTGCCATCTTTGCCCGTGCTAAAGGACCAATGGGATAAAAGCAATGTCATGTGGTATTTCAGGGGGCAAACAGGTGAAAAAAATTTGTAAATCATAGTTGAGTTTGTTTATTCCAGACAACGGAAAATGAAGAACATTTAACCTAAACATTTACATCTAATGCCAAATTATGGGAGGAAGTGATCACTGTTACATTTTGGATGCAGTAGCAACCGTAGATATCCTCACAGCAAACAGTGGTGTCTTAAATCTTATCAAATCTTAACCTTAACATTTTGAACGACTATTAAATCATGGTCTCATTTTTAACTTGACCATGATTACTCATATTGGCAAATTTTATCACTTGCTTGCCCCATGAAATACAATGTGACATTATTTTCATCCCATCTAGTCTAAAACCATTAACTTCTTTAGTAGTACTTAAATTATTAGTGAGGAAAATGTTCTGTAAAAAAGTGCTTGTAGTACTGTACCATGTTTAGGTACCCCTAAAGTGGTTTCATCAACAGACTTGAAACTTCAAAGAAAAAATACCTACTTACCACTTACTGTAACTGCAATTTTAACTTAAACACATTTCTAAACAAAATGTTACAAAACTTCGATATTGTTGAAAATCAAAAGAATGAAAACATGACATCTATTAAAGAAATAACTTCAAGTACTTTTACCACGTGGTCAGAATAAATATTTACACTTTTTTCATTAAACCCTTCACAGAAGAATTCAGCCATGTGCACATGGTCTTGGCCAAAATAACAAGACAAAGTTAAACAATGAAATGGAGAGATTGAATGTACATGATGCATTACTCAAAAATGGACAACAAAAAACCAGACAGGTATTTAACTGGCAGGTATGACTAACAACTAACTGTGCATAAATTAGTCTATTAACTTGTGTTATATTCAACTAAGCTCCATTGTTATGTTTTTGTCTGATGTTTAGGCAGATTAACAATTACCAAGTTCACTGGAGGAGAAATTAAAGTTACCACACTACTATGGAATATTCCAGAAGGCTATACCTGGTGCACAATATTGATTTCAAACTTTCAAAGATGTTTATACTTAAATCCAGGTTCACAAAGAATATATAATATTCAAAGTTTATGACACACTGTAAATTTCAGGTATTTATGACAAATCCCTAACCAGAACCTGTTTTAAAACCAGACAACAAAGAGCACTGTTTAAATTATTAAATCAAACTTATCTTTTCAAAACAAAAGCACTATTCAAGATCTTTTTTCAGACACTATGGTAATGTAACTTAATATCATTTGTTCACTGAACAAAAATAATTTGCACTCAATATAAGCTATAGATCTTGCAGTTTGATTCTGTGGATAAATTCCACAANTTTGTCTGATGTTTAGGCAGATTAACAATTACCAAGTTCACTGGAGGAGAAATTAAAGTTACCACACTACTATGGAATATTCCAGAAGGCTATACCTGGTGCACAATATTGATTTCAAACTTTCAAAGATGATTATACTTAAATCCAGGTTCACAAAGAATATATAATATTCAAAGTTTATGACACACTGTAAATTTCAGGTATTTATGACAAATCCCTAACCAGAACCTGCTTTAAAACCAGACAACAAAGAGCACTGTTTAAATTATTAAATCAAACTTATCTTTTCAAAACAAAAGCACTATTCAAGATCTTTTTTCAGACACTATGGTAATGTAACTTAATATCATTTGTTCACTGAACAAAAATAATTTGCACTCAATATAAGCTATAGATCTTGCAGTTTGATTCTGTGGATAAATTCCACAACCAGTTTTTTCCCCTTTTTTCCAACTCATTTTAACAATAGCATCACTCTGAATACCAAGACACGAAACAGTAAAAATTTATGCGAACTACAAACGGTATATACTATACACTATTCAAATCCAATCCCTCAATTCAATTAACTTATTTAAGAACAATATCATTCCAGATTATTCTGTTTAGATGGCTTTTTACGTCAGTAGCAATACTACTCCTTAAAATAGGAAACAGGGTTCAAGCAATACAGCAACTTAATCTTCTGACTCTCTGTATAAAGACTCATTAATTTTCCCCCCATCCCTGCCTTCAAATTTGAATCCACCCTCCACCCCTGTAACTAAAACACATCATATCCTCTCCAAATTGAATGAACAAAGCCCTTCACCTACATGAAGCCCCGATATTGTTAAAACCACAATTTTGACAGGTGACATGGTGGAGGGGGCACTCAACAAAGGTTTATACGGCGAGGCTCCATTACATAAGATTTTAGACAGTGAAGAGCAAGTTACCCCTTCTGCAAATTTAGAATGCTACATCCCTTTTAATTGCTGTAAATGCACTGTCTTAAATCATCAAACCAGCAAGTTTTCTTCACTTTTAGGTACTTCTACAGGCTGAAATGACATTACCCAACCCTTTTTATATACTTCAACCAGTGAATTCCCCACCCTTTTATGTATCTGATGCCTGACAAAGGTACCTCTTTTGAGTGGAGACTCTCTGTGTAGGCATTATAGGGAGGACCCCACCAACTTCAGAACAGAGACACAGTGCAAGTGAAATGATAATAAAATGTCACAAAGATGGATTTGATTTGTGACAAAGAAGATAACCACCAGCAGAAATGTAGAATGCTGACAGAGACATGGATTTCTTTAGAATACATGTAAATGAAAGGCATTTAGACTTGAGACACAAGATTAAAATTACAGTTGGTCATCAGACAAAGTCCTACCTCCAGTCGGACATGATGTCAGACCAGACAAATCAAATGTTAATGACCATCATTATGAAACTAAAGGCTGGTTTTCACTAGCCACGGAGTCCGAGTAGTAATCAGAGGCGTAGAGCTTATGAGCTAGTGAAAACAGCATTCTGACTCCACTTATGACTCTGTCGCTCACGTTCCACTTACGATCTAGTGAAAACCAGATTGTTAGAGTCAGAAGCAGAAGGGGAAGACTAACCCAATCACAAAGCATGGGAACCGGAATTGTGACTGGTTTATCCTTTCGCTTGTGCTTCTGACTCCGACAATCTGGTGTCCACTAGATCATAACTGGAATTTAACGACAGAGTCTTAAGCGGGAGTCTGAAGAAACAGAAACATTCTGATTCTTCTGACTCTCACTCTGTCACGCCTATGACTTCACTTACGACTCCGATTTTTTAATTTTCACTGGGTCATAATCGCTCTTACAACTCTGCTTAGAACTCAGACTCCGACTCTGAACAGACATTAAAAATCAATGAAATGAATGCTCAACAGCTATTTTGGTTTGTCGGAAAATAATTACAAGTTTGTCAGACTTATGTCCTTCCTGAGAAGGCAAATATTATTTGCAATCCTGCTATAGGGACTTAAAACTGTATTTTACACAAATATTCATTTTTATATCAATACATTACTAAATTCCAGCTGCACCTTTACCCCAGGGTGACCCACAGGCATTTCTAATAATTTTTTGATGGATGTCAAATTCCCAGGGGTGGAGCCACTTATTTTTTTTTAATAGTCAAGGGGAGCCACCTGAGCTGCCAAAACCCTGTGGTGTAGAAGAAGGAATATGACAAAGGCTCCTTCCCCTGGCTTGTCTCCAATCAACACTTAGCCAGTTTTCGCTTTACACAGTGATTGCTTAAAGTTGTGGCTCAATAAGAAACAAGGAAATGCATAAAATCGAGAAATCATAACTTTAAAGAATCCAAGCAAGTTTATCCAGGTCCTTGACAGACAAGTCAATATTCAGTGGTCCTATCCAATAAAATACCATAAAATTCCGAAAATAAGCCCCGGGGCTTCTATTTTTCAAAGGCCCTTTTTTGTATTTGGAGGGGCTTATCTACGGAGGGAATTTGCGTTTCAAAATCGATTGGGCTAGCCTTATAGTTGGAAGTGAATTTACCGGTTTTTTTGTTGCACTTTGTGTTTGAGGGAAATTTGCAAAGTACAAGCCTCCAGGGGGGGGGGGGGGGGTTACTGGTTTGGGGGACTTATATTTGGAGCAGCTTATACATGGAGGGGCCTAGTTTCAGAATTTTACAGTATTCCATGTTTGGTTTTTGAGTCAGAAACCATGGGTGTGTGAAAAGCCCCAGGGTCTAGGCAAAGCAAATCCCTGAACCCTGGACTGTTCTAAATTTGCTTTTCCACCCCCACCCCCACCCCCTCCCCCCTTCCCTCCCAAGACTAAAAACGCATGCAAATGTTCTGCAGGTGCCTTGATGGGTGGGGGATGGTCACATCTGGAATTGACTGATGCCTTAATTTGATCCGTTCTAGTATCTTAGAAAATTATCACATTCTCAGGTAATTTAGTGAATACATGGTGACAAATGTGCCGTACTTTTTGTTATTGTTTTGAGCTCTGTTGATTTGACTTTTTCATTATTATTTCGTCTAACCTTTTTTGTGTTTCTTTCTTCTTTTCAGTTTTAGTATTTTGAAAGTGGAATAATTCTTACCTTATGTTGTAAACGTTATATTTAGCAGCAGTCCATCAAAAGCCTAACAAAAAATTATTGCGTTTACTTTTTTAGGATGAACAAGGAAAGAAAACAGCTTGATGAGTTATTGTTTAGAGTTGACTGCGGAAAAGAAAACTGCCCTTTTTCTTTCCACACTGAACCGGAAATTTTGAAAATAACCACTGTTGTATAAAATGAAATACGTGAGAAATACATGCAAAAAGTGTTTGCGTATTTAATTTAGCTGCATTCAAGAGGCGATCGAAAAGAAAGACACTGAATTTCACGATAGCGTGTTAATGGTAAAGGGTGATTTCTTTCGCGCCTTTGACAGACTTTTCGTCATCGAGTAAATTATCCCAGGAATATTACGCTACAATTGTACAAACTTAGTCGTAGTAAACAAAACAAAAAACGCCCCCACGTGAGCCATACAGTTTACCTTTGTCGTTTGCGCGCCATTGCATCATTTGAACTTCACGGGAATCGTCGCGAAACGTGTGCTCCAATATCAAAGACAGAAATCGTGCCTGAATGGTGGAAATTCGTTTGAGCAGAGTGTATAACGCAATTGTCTGTTCACATTCATTCCAGTTTGCAAACCACTCCACAAGGGTGCTCACTTGATCTCGAAAAAGCGTGTGCTGGGCTGGTTTCATATCGCTTGCTAAGGATAAAACCTGAAATCGACCAAAGATTTGATTAGTTTTCAGCACAACGATGCTCGCACACGTGCAAATAATTCAGCAGTGCCTTTGTACACTTACATGAAAGCAAATTGGGGAAAATAATTCCCCCAAGATATCTTTCAGTGCACAAACTGGACAAAGCACGTGCTTTGATGTTTTGTAGACGAGCTTATATTCATCAATTATAAATGAGCCCTGTATCGCCGCTGCTGAATGCCCTTCAAAGAAACTGTTCGAAAGGTACAATTCTAGGCGAATTTGCATATGTCCCTCAAGCAAAAGAACTTTTCAAGACAATCCGACACCAGTCGGCAGAATGATAAACAATTCTTCGTTGTTTTTCCTCATATGCTACGAAGAGGTAAATAATTTTTTTAGTATAAGAAAGCTAGCGCGAAAAAAAAAACAGAGGAAGGAAATTGAATCTCCTGCAGCAAAGTGTAGTCCCGTTGCTTCGAGCAGGAAGTCGGGTTATTTGACGTAAAACTTTTCCTCAAATTTTCTTTTACCGCTTCGTTCTGCCGAGACTGCAATAAAACCATTTTCACACTTACAGGCTCGAAGAAACACAACAAATGTTTTGCAGAACCCCCCAAGCCTTCGAAAGTCGCCTTCGAAAGTCTTCCTTTCGAATAAGAAGTTATAAACAAAGCCCAAACATCAACAACACCATTGCACTTAACAGTAAAAAGCCAACACTCACTTTCGCCGTTAAAACCAGCTGTTGAACTGCGAAAATTCTGCACAAGTTAAAGCAGGCTGCCTTTGTTGTGCGCACAGCGAAAAAAATTAAACTTTTTGTCTGCACAAATCCCAAAGAGCTTACAACTGTGAAAGGTCATTCAATTCCTCACCTACGTACGACTCAACTTCCTTCGAACGTGTCCGTATATTTATGCCAATTCGTCGCCATAAACGAGCTCAGCACTTGCCTGCAGAGTACTGAATTCTTCTTTGGAACATGTAACACCTTCTCATTACATCTTTAGCGAAGTCAAGAGCGGCAAATTAGCGTAAACCTCCGCAACTCTTACGTTAGTAGACATGCTACTTGTTTCGACAATGCTCGAAGCTATCTTTGGCTTTTTCATATAGCGCTGGAGCCGACTGAACCAATCACAATAAAAACGATGATGTCATCGCGGAGGCAATATAGTCACGTGACACAAAACGCACGACCCACGAGGCCTTCGATTGCCTTTCATGATAATGTGTGTAGGAGACAAGTACGTTATAGAAAATGATCAATTTTGCCCTCTACAGCGAAATCTTATCTTGAATTCTTCTTTATACACTTTTCGAAGACAGACATAATTTTCAAGTTTAAAGAAATAACTAATATTTGAATGAGAAGAAGAAAAGAAGAAATCAAAAACGTTATTTTAGTGTAAAACCTGAATAATCAAGCAATCAATGGTCTATTTCACAAAAACAATAATTTTGTGTACGGAGGGGAAAAGCTTTGTTTATTACTTATATACTTCTATAACTAATTATATTTTCAGCGTTACCCGGCCGGCCACAAAAACGATCAAGTTATTTTTACCAGACTACATATACAAAATGACAAAAACGAGGTTCTCTTTCAGTTTTCAGTAGCCGGCTTTAAGTGTGGGAGGATCAAATCACTAGACGAGTGGGCGACTGATCTGAAAAATGTGGCCTAGAAAACTTCCTTTTCCTTTAAAAATTATTTAAATCTGCGTTTATTTATATTTGAAAAAAATAAGCGTCTGTGTTTATAGCCAACTACTGTTAAATTGGTGTTAACCTGTTTATAAATCACTTGTTGATGATAAAATTTAACTGCTCTTGTTTCTCCCACCTGTTAACAGTTTTTATTGTGTACTTGCAGCGTTTAAGTTCTCGACAATAATATATTTACATTCTCATGATACGTCACCAGCCAGGAAACCAAAAACTGAAACTGAAAACTGGGAACATTTCGTTGGATTTTCCGCTTCATCTGAGCTCTGACTTAGCGGGGGTGGGTGGGGGGCAATTTGTTCTTGTGTTTTGAGGGAAATGATGTTGATTTGGGAAGGAAATAAATTAGGGTAGAAAAGTTTTACTCATAAAACTGGTTAGTTCGCTAATGGGCTCAGAGGCACCTGTACCATGTTGTTGTGGTGGACTATCTAGTATTTGTCTACTAATTATAAACTTCATATTTTAATTTTTAAAACTCCAAATTCAATATTTTCAGGAGCCCATCAGGGGCTCCTGATATTTTCCAATTTTCCAAAATTTTAAACGATAACCCCACCTAATTTTTATACATTAGCAACAATCGAAAAATCATCCAAAAATTCTAAAAAAAACTACTGAATTAACGACTCCAACTAATGGCGTCAATTTTTGATTAAATGAAGATCAACGATATCTTGGCTGGGTGTGGAAATAAACGAAAAACAATGCTTTTAGCCAGAATGCGCAATGCCCCCTAACGCTGCGTAGTGTTGGATTTCTCGACGTACCAAGATCGCGAGGATTAATTAAATTGCCGTGACACAAGATAGTAGCTAATCTGAGCTTTAGTGGTAAATCCGTTTAATCAGTTTACCATAACTTTAGGAAACACGCAATCAAAAACTATTTCAAGGTTTCGGATAGCTTACGACGTAAAGACACTGTCTCCCCTGTGTTCTTTACATTCACTGCCTTGTCTGATTATGATTAATATTCTCTATATTTACTGCGAGAGGCTAAAACAGGTGATATTTCCAGTATAAATGTATATTTTTTTTGTTTCAGTTTTTTAAAAGGGAAGTTTTCTATTTTTTACAGTCAAACAGCATTTTGAGACTAATTAAATGAACAAGCCCCTGTTCTCTTGTATACGATATGTAGGAGCGGCCGTTAGAAGTGTCTAAAGTGTAAAGAGCTGTCACATTTCAGATAATTAACGCCCTTGGCTGGCAAGACCAAGATCGCGAGGATTAATTAAATTGCCGTGACACAAGATAGTAGCTAATCTGAGCTTTAGTGGTAAATCCGTTTAATCAGTTTACCATAACTTTAGGAAACACGCAATCAAAAACTATTTCAAGGTTTGAGATAGCTTACGACGTAAAGACACTGTCTCCCCTGTGTTCTTTACATTCACTGCCTTGTCTGATTATGATTAAGATTCTCTATATTTACTGCGAGAGGCTAAAACAGGTGATCATTTCCAGTATAAATGTATATTTTTTTTTGTTTCAGTTTTTTAAAGGGAAGTTTTCTATTTTTTACAGTCAAACAGCATTTTGAGACTAATTAAATGAACAAGCCCCTGTTCTCTTGTATACGATATGTAGGAACGGCCGTTAGAACTGTTTAAAGTGTAAAGAGCTGTCACATTTCAGATAATTAACGCCCTTGGCTGGCAAGCAACCAAATGCTTAATTCTAAAATGTCAACGTTTAACAGAGCGGGGAGAAGGGGGGCGGGGGTACTCATAAAAGTTTTATACATGGAGTTTCCGCCCGAAGGTCAAACCCCTTACCCTTTTATATAGAGTGTTTTCACACACGTGGCCAGCATCTCTGCAAATCTCTTGGAACAAAAGAAAGTGTTTGCATAAGAAAAGAGTTCAACTCCTAGAGGACTGGTTTGGGACATCAACATGGCCGCCATTTCATTGTTTTGGGACACCAATATGGCCGCCGTGACGTCATGTGAAAATACTCTATACCATTTTTTACAGAAAAGGTACTACTTTAGTATACTTTCTACTGATTATTGACAAATGGTGCAGTTTTTACATAAAAGGAGGCGATAGTGATCGGCTCCTTCGCACATACCTAGTTTAGAACTTTGTATCCCTTTTCACTGCTGTACATGCACTGTTTTTAAAATATGAATAAATCACAAAACCAGAAAATTTTCCCGTCTCTTTCAAAGCCATAAAATGCATCTGCAAGCCGTTTTGGGCCTTTTTTACAGACCGAAATGACAGATTTCCCTACCGTTTCATATACGTCAGCTATAGTGAAATCCCTACCCTTTCATGACCTGAAGAGTTTCTGGCGGAGCCTCCCCGCATAGGCCCGAGTAACCCCCGGGCTCTCAAATCATGGCATTGCACTGCCATGCCAAGTAAAATTGACAACCCCCTGCACAGAATCTTCCGATCTTTGATCTTCTTTTTGGTTATCTTTTAGTGGACGCGATTTTGCTGTTGGCTGTGGTAATCCAACTACGAGAGAAAGCGAAAAAGTTTACCTGAGATAATTTCAGTTTTTAAAGCAAAAGTATTCCGTAACAAAAATCCGGCTTCGAATTAGAATGAAAAGGAAGATCGACTCTCAACTTAATTCAAACAGAATACTTTTTTCCCGGTCGGTTCTTGGCTCCCTCCCCCTTTATCCTCCTGACTGAATTGCTTTCACATGATAAGATAGAAGTGTTTTTCTTTACCATCTCCGTGACGTGTATAGTGCACAAAAGCTAAACCACTGACACGGAAAAAACACTCCAAAACGCCAATCAGAATGGAACGTGTTTTTCGGTAGCTGAGCCGCGAAGTGTGGAGAACCTCTGCGAAGCAGTAACTTGCGTCACGTTGAATCTCCCTAGCTATGGAGGCAAGTTTCATACACGAAAGCGGTTTCAAAAAGATGTTTTAAAAGCACTCATACATATTTATGGAGCTCAGAATGTGTTTGTTTAGACCGCGGGGTACTACCCAAAACTGCCTGTACGGGGAGGCTCTTCCCAAAAGGGCTACCTTTTTCAGGCTTCCGTTATATGAAAATGAAGGGATTTCACTAGTTGAAGTACAGTAGAACCTCGATAACTCGAACTCGGGTAATTTGAATTCCCCGCTAACTAATACTAGATTTCCTTACCCTTGATCATAATTTAACTGAAATTTACCCCGATAACTCGAATTCCCTGCTAAATCGAAATGTTTTTCGTTCCCTTTAGAGTTCGAGTTACCTTCGCTCTACCGTATATGAAAGGGTAGCAAATCATTACGGTCTGAA